AACAACGACTATGACGTCAACAACACAGACAACGGACAAATTTTGATCAGAAAAGCTCACTTGAGCCTTGGGCTGAGGTGAGCTAAAAATGAAGATATATTGAAAGACTTTTAAAGAATTGATTTTTTAAAGTATATTTTGATCAACATCACAAAATTTATACAACTGGCCCAAACTGGCAGATGATGAAATAAGCAATTACATGTTCTACTTTCCTATTTGTAAGCATTATGTGTCCAGTGGTAAGGAGCCTATTAGGTTAGCATAAAAAAAGAATGTACAAATGTTAATAATTGATTTATCAAAAAAAAAATTTTATTTCCTTCTCCTTCGGGACTTTTTTATTCTCATGTTCATAAACCTAAACATAAAAAAAATGCTGGCCTTATAATGAAGAAAGGGGCCTCTTTCAAAATAGATAATTTCAGGGCCGCTGGGTCAGGGGTACCGGGGGGTACTTTGACTAAAAATAAATTAATGCTTTGAAATCTGCCCTTTGATAAGCAATGGTGCCTCTTTCAAAATTTGTGAATTTCATGGCTTTTGGCTTAAAACACGAACCAAATACAATCGCTGGAAAGTTGTTACATGATACTCAGGTGACCTATAAGGCCCGTGGGCCTCTTGTTTTTTTTTGAATTTTTGATTAGTATTAACTTTTGAAAGAGAAAAGGTACCACTTTCATATTACATATGTATATTATCTGTGACAATACCTCTCTAAATATACTATAAATACAGCTCAACAAACTTTTTAAGCTCACATGGTATTTCGCACAAATTAAGGTCACATTGTTGTAATAATATTACCATTTTGGAACTTCAGTACAATGGCATAACCCTTTGTTATACTACATATATAATGTCAAGCATAAATGTCTTTTCAAATTATTATCTTAAGTTTCCAAAGTGGATGTTTTAAAGGACAATTTTAATAAATAGTAGGATGTTTCGACTATACGTTTCTACTATAGGTTTTTACAAATTGTATAAAACGGGCTTTCCTTGATCCCATGTAGTTGAATTTTTTTTTAAATTTCTTCTTAAAGGTGAGTATTTTTAAAAAATCTATGATCATTTACTATACTTTTCTTGGTTTCGTCGAAACGTAGTGCCGAAAAGCGATAATATTGCAAAAGGAAACCACACTAAAAAGTAGGATAATTAAGGATTGCTTATTTATTTGAATAGTAAATTCCTTCTATGAAAAGGAAAATTTTTCTGCATTTGCAGTTTGAAACGTTAAAATTTTGCAGTGGGATGAATCTTTTATCATTCTAGATTTTAGAAGTTGACTCTAAAAATCCCACCTTATTAAGATAGAAAGCAGTCAAACAGTCAAAAATACTATAACCATCCCGAGTTAAAGAGTCAAAATGTACAGAAAATAAAATTTACAGTAGCTGTACTATACCCATGTCTACCTTTCTGTCAAGAGCTATTGTTTTCAAAAGAATGGATAAAAAGACTGTTGCAATTGACAAGAAACTACAAAAATTTAGATGAAAATAGTCGTTATTTTTCAGCCATGAATATATCAAAGTTCTACCAATTGATTTGTGTGAATTATGTTTCAGTAAATGAATAAAACTAAAATTAAGTAAACAAATACTTTTAAAATTTATTTTGATGGTTCGATATTCAATAATATATCATAACAATGTGGCCTTAATTTGTGCGAAAAACAATGTGAGCTTAAAAAGTTTGTTGAGCTGTATATACTACTTGTAACACTGACCTTTAAGTTTGACCTATTTTTCAAAAATGGTATTTTTCCTCATACATGTAACATTTGACTGAAAAAAGATAGCTAGGGCTATAAAATTTGACGTGAATTTCCTGTGTCAAGACGTTTCTTAACATGCTTTTATTTTGGCCCCCTTGACATGTTGTTGGACATAATTTTTCAAAAATTTAACTTTGGTTATTACTTTTGAATGACATATGATAAGGCACTCATATTTGATCCATTGAATATCCCATTAATAACTGGATTCCACCAAAAGTGGGGACCACCATTCTTGAGTTTGCTTTTTAGCTCACCTGAGCCAAAGGCTCAAGTGAGCTTTTCTGATCAAAATTTGTCCGTTGTCTGTCGTCATTGTTGTCGTTGTTGTTGTCGTTGTCGTCGTCGTCGTCGTTAACATTTCATATTTTCATCTTCTTCTCAAGAACCACTGGGCCAATTTCAACCAAACTTGCTACAAAGTATCCTTGCGTAAAGGGGATTCAAGTTTGTTTTAAAAGAAGGGCCACACCCTTTTCCAAGGGGAGATAATTATGAATTAGAGAGAAATTAATGGCATTTTTAAAAAATCTTCTTCTCAAGACCCAGTGGGCCAGGAAAGATGAAACTCATGTGGAATCATCCTCAGATAGTGTAGATTCAAATTTGTTCAAATCATGACCCCTGGGGGTAGGGTGGGGCCAAAATGGCCGATCAAAGTTTTACATAGGAACATATAGGAAAAATCTTTAAAAATGTCTTCTCAAGAACCACTGGGCCAGGAAAGATGAAACTGATGTGGATTCATCCTCAGGTAGTGTAGATTCAAGTTTGTTAAATTCATGACCCCCGGGGTAGGGTGGTGCCAAAATGGCAGATCATAGTTTTACATAGGAATATATAGGAAAAATCTTTAAAAATCTTCTTCTCAAGAACCACTGGGCAAGGAAAGATGAATCTCATGTGGAATCATCCTCAGGAAGTGTAAATTTAAGTTTCTTTAAATCATAACCCCCGGGGGTAGGGTGGGGCCAAAATGGCAGATCAAAGTTTTACATAGGAATATATGGGAAAAATCTTTTTAAATCTTCTTCTCAAGAACCATTGAGACAGGAAAGATTAAACTCATGTGAAATTAACCTCAGGTAGAGTAGATTCAAGTTTGTCCAAATCATGACCCCCGGGGGTAGGATGGGGCCAAAATGGCCGATCAAAGTTTAACATAGGTATATATAGCGAAACCTTTTAAAATCCTCTTTAAAAGTACTTCAAATCCATGCTAAGTGATATTTATATGGAATCATTCTCATGTAGTGTAGATTCTAGTTTGTTCAAACCATGACCCCCTTGGAGGTTAAAATTTAAGCCCCCCCCCCCCAAAGCAGTAAACTTTCAGTTCTGATCTGATATGTGCTTTTTCCTAGCAAATTGCTCAGGTGAGCGATGTGGCCCCTGGGCCTCTTGTTATTATTATTTTTTCACCCATGTGACATTTATTTATATTATAGCTTCTCTGAAATTCTATAGCTTACATTAGTATTTTTATTATTCTGTTCCTTTAACTTAATAGCTCTGCATTTCAATTTCGTTTTAAGCTCACCAAGGCTGAAGTTTCAAGTGAGCTTTTTGATAGAAATTTGTCTATTTTGTCATCATTGTCATCATCAACATAATTGTAAACTTTTCACAATTTAATTTAGAAGCATATAAATATTTTTATTCAAGCATTATATAAAAACGGGGAAGGGTTTTTTGTTACTTTTAAAATTATTTTAATAATTTTAATATGCATTTTTTTTTTTTTGCAAAAATTTAACATTTAAGATTAAAGAATAAAAATTTTATATAATTTTTATATTATTTTATTAATCTAATTTCAAATATGAGAGAGAAAAGAGAAAGAGAGAGAGAGGATAGAGGGGAGTGTAGGGGAGAGTGGGAGTGGGGAGAGAGGGATGGGGATGTGGGAAGGGAGAAGGGGGAAGAGGGGGAGTGGAGAGAGGGGGGGAGAGAGAAGGAGTGGAGGGAGAGGGGTTGAAGAGAGGGAGTGGGGAGAGAGGGGAGTGTGGGAGGGAGAGTGGGAGAGAGGGAGAAAGAGAGTGGGGAGAGGGGAGTGGTGCGATGGAGGGGGGATGGGGGGGAGAGGGAGAGTGGGGAGAGAGGGGAGTGGGAGAGAGGGAGTGTGGAAGGGAAAGGGGAAGGGATGGGGAGAGAGAGAAAAAAGGGGAGAGAGAAGGGGAAAAGGGGAGGGAGAAGAAAAAAGGGGAGGGGGGGAGGAAAGGGGAGAGGGGGAAAAAAGGGATGGAGAGTAAAAAGGGATGGGGAAGGAAGGGGGGAGAGTGGGAAGGGGGGAGGGGAAAAAAAGGGGGAGAAAGGGATGGGAGGAAAAAGGGGGATGGAGGAATTGGGGAGAGGAGAGGGGGAAATGGGGGGGGATGGGGATTAGGAAAGGGAAAAAGGAAAAGGGGGGAAAAAGGGATGAAGAAAATAAAAGGAGACATAAAGAAAAAATGGAGAGGGAGAGGGGGTGGGAGGGGAAAAAATGGAAGGGATGGGGGTGGGGGAAAAGGGGGGAAAGTTTTGGGAAGGGGGAAATGGGGTTTTGGGAAGGAAAAATGGGGAAAAAAGAAAAGGGGAGGGGAAAAAAGAGAAAAAATGGGAAAAAAAGGGGGAGGGGGGAGGAAAAAGGGGGGAAAGGGAGGGGGAAGAAAAAAGGGATGTGGGAAAGGGAAGGAGGTGGGGAAACAAAAAAAGTGGGAAAAAGGGGTGGGGAAAAAAAGTGGAAGAAAGAAAGAAGAGAGGAAAAGGGGAAAGAGTTTGGGGGGGGGGAGAAGGGAGGGGGGGAGTGGGGAAAGGGGGGGGAAAGGGGGGGGGGGAGGGGGAAGAAGAAAAGGGGGGAGAAAGGGGGACTGGGGAGAGAGGGAGGGGGAGAGACGGGGAATGGGAAAGTGGGGAGGGAGGGGGGGAGAGGGGAAAAGAAGTGGAGAGAGAGGAGGGGGAAAGAGAGGGAAAGGGGGGTGGGGGGAAGGAGGGGGGGAGAGGAGAGAGTGGAGATAGTGGGAGATGTGAGGAGGTTGGGAAGGACAGAGAATAGGGAGAACTGGGTAGAGAAGGAGTTGGAGAGAGGGAGTTGTTAGAGATGATGAGAGAGTGGGATGAGGGGGGGAGAAAAGGGAGTGGTAAAATGGGAGGGAAAGGGGGGAGGGGGGTTTAAAATGTGGGAGAGGGGAAAGGGGGGAAAAGTGGGAAAGAGGTGGGAGGGGGAAGTGGAGATAATCGGAGAGAATGAAAGTGGGGAGAAACAGGGAAGGGGGGAGGTTGGAATGAGAAGGAGTGGGGAGAGAGGGAGTGGGTAGAATGGGATGTGGAGAGTGGTAAGAAAATGAGGAGAGTGGGGACAGCGGGAAAGATGGAGAGGTGGGAGAGAGAGAGAGGGGGAGATAAGTAGGAAGGTATAAAAGAGGGATTGAGGGGGCATGGTCTGAAAATAGTTTAATAATTTGAAATCTGACTTTGCTTTTAATCAAAACATGATGAAATAAAATTTCCAAAATGTTTGGGTCAGTGGTTCTTGTGGGCGGGGTGCACAACTGAAAAAGTGGAAGTGCATTTTCTTTTTACTCTCCCCCGGGATTATGTAACCAAAGTTAGCATGCTAAGTGTATAGTTATGATACGCAAGTGTCCTCTTTCAAAAATGTGAATTTATGGGGTTTTTAAAAACAATCAAAATTTAATTGTTGGAAAGTTGTTCCATGATATTCAGGTGACCTTTATATCAGGTGATCTTGTTTTTAATCAAATCACCTGTGAAGCATGTTAAACGGGAAAAATCCTTTTTATTGGTCAATATTATTTTTATACCACTTATTTTTCAAATTTGCTGATCCAAAGTCTGTCTGTACAGGAAATGGAGTGGTCCTCCTTTTTTTTGAGATTCAGGAACTATCCAAACCCCGGGACTGGAGTACCCCAGCACGTTTGCTATGTTTAGACCGTTGTGTGTTCTTGTTAATGTTTCCCCATGGTTTGGCTACCTATGAAAGTTTACATTTAGTGTATACTGGACGTACACATTTTTTCATTTTTTTCCTTTGTGGATGGTCAGGATTTTTAAAATCATTCAAAACTTTGAAGGCTTCATTCCAAGAATTATTTAGAACTTAAATTGTTCTTCTGTTTATATTCATGGGTTTTCTAAGCTGGACATGTTGTAACACAAATTTTGATATCGTCATTTAGTATTCACCTACAACAAAGCCATTTAAGCACATTCGGGGAATTCTGATGTACATCTTGATTATGATATTTTCTAAAGTTACCATGGTAATGACGTATCACCTTATTTATGTATATGAGAGTTTTGATATGTTATTGGTCTGTTTGTCCACTTGCATTGAAGCACTAACATATATTATTATTTACACAATTTTTGTATATGATGGAATATATTTTAGAGGATGTGAAAAATGGGGGATATTGTGCTTTACATTTGGTCGACAAAACAACTTATACAACATTAAAATTACCTTGTCGTCTTTCATAGTTCTGGTTTTTTGTTGTTTTTCAACATAATGTTAGTTCAGAAACCACACGATGTTTGCAGCAGTTTTAAAGTTTCGGCTTTGAGTATTTAAAAAATTAACTTGGAGCAAGTACAAATTAGAAAAGGGAAATCTGAACAAAATAGATATATTGCCAACTGCCGCAGATGAAGAAATAAAAACCTGAAAGATGTGTGTCCCATTTGTAGCATTCAAGTCGATAGTAAAAATCACCTTGTGGTGTGGTCATTTCTATCATAATTTGTTTAAGAATATACATCAATGACAGTTGACCAATATGTCAACAAAGTGGTAACTCTTCTTAGCATTCCGATTCCAATTTCAATTCTGAACCTGATTTTCTCAAAAAATTCCGAGTACTCAAAGAGAGTTAGATCAAATTTCGACGATGATGTACAGCTGTACTCGGGCCTCTGTTTTAAAAAAAATTTTGTTGACAAATCAAAATGTTAAAAAGCCTCTTGTTATACCGGTATATAACATTATTCATCTCTATGTAGATTTAGCAATATGTTATATGTGTTTCATCAAAAGCCTTCTCAGATTTGATTTCATGCAATAATTTGAATCTATACCTGTAATGCTATTTCTCTAATGAAAAAGTACTGACGTAAATGAATTATATACCGTTTAGTTTATAATGTAAAGATTTTAAAGAAATAGTTCCAGTTTTTTTTTAACTTTATCCAAGTTATAACTTTAGTTAAGGTAAGTCTTACGGCCAATAGAGTAAACTCTCCATACATAAATACTTTTGTATCTTGTCCTATTTTATCAATCTAGCGAAGGACAACAAGTATCAGAAATTCTGATAAATGTTTTACCTTCTTTATTTAAAAGTTGTATATCAGTTATTAAGTCATTTAATATTCGATTTAACCTTGCCTTTTTTGTCTCAAATTTGTATGATAATATATAAGGTTTCTTTACAGTAATTACAATCCATTGAGTTCATTATGTTATACAGGTATTATTATCAAATACATATACAGCTTGACAACATTACTGGGTAAAATACCAATTTTATTATTTTTTTTTTTTTAGAAATATTCTTACTCTGCAATATAATTATATAGATGCGGTGTGTTTCATAAATTGATTTTGCAAAATTAAATCTAGCTGTTACTACAGAAGCGTAAAGGACTATACACTTATTGTGCTGTATCTTTGTTTATTTCTTAACATCGTCTTATAATATATAAAGTGTAATATCTCCTTATTTATACACATATTTTGAATTGTATTAAGATGTTTTACACAATTAAAGGCAACTTCTTTTGTTCAATAGATTTTATTATTTAAACTTTAATCGACTGAAATATATTTATATTCATATATCAATCGAAAAAAGATGACCTACATTTTCAGGTTGAGTGAACAGGTTAATGTTTTTGGTGCAGGTCTCATTTCCAAGTAACTATAAGCTCTATGTTGACCAAACTTGCATGGATGATACATCTTAGGATGCATACTACCAGACTTGCTTCGGATGCTGAATTTGACCTACATTTTCTGGATGAGTGAACAGGTTAAAGTTTTTGGTGCAGGATTCATTTCCAAATAACTTAGAGCTCTTTGATAACCAAACTTGCATGGATTATATATCTAAGGTTGAATGCATTCTACAAGGCTGGTTTCAGATGCTGAATCTGACAAGCATTTTTTTCTGGATGAGTGAAAAGATTTAATTTTTATGCAGGTTTCATTTCTAAGTAACTATTAGCCATATGTTGAGCAAACTTGCATGGATGAAACATCTAAGGATGCAAACTGATAGACTTGCTTCAGATGCTGGATCCCACATACATTTTCCAGAAAATGGACCAGGTAAAAGTTATGGGTGCAGGTCTATCCTCAAGAAACTATAAGGCTTAAATAAACCAAACTTGCCCAAATGATGCATCAAGGGATGAAAACTCTTAAACTAGCTTGCTTCAGATGCTGGATTTTGATCACATTTTCGTGATGAAGAACTAGTTTGAAGTTTTTATATAGGTCTATTCCCAAATTTTGATCAAAATTGCATAAATTTTTTTTTTTGGATGTAAATTTTTTTTGGGGAAAATTTTGTGATTTCCCTTACTTTAAAGACAACATTCGTTAGGTGAGCTCTGAAATTTTCTGATTACCTATTTTTTAAAACATCGGAAACGTCTAACACAGGAAATTAAAAAAGAAAACACGGAGGTTACAAACAGTAATCTGGAGATTTTTTATTTTCAAATGAAAATGGTGTCCTCATACAGCCTTCAGTGTCGTATCTATTGAAATCCTGACTAAAAAAAACAATTATGGACTCTTTTGGTGTTGAATATGGTTTGTTATTCACCAAAAAAATATTCATATTGACCGAGGGAATTTTTTTGACTGACATATATTTATATTCATATATCAATCGAAAAAAGATATTTATAATCATACCAAAAAAATATTGTTATATGAAAAAATAAATTTAAAAACTATATCGATATAAAAATATGAATATATAAAGTCAGAAAAAGGTTTTTGAATTAAATCTCGCGGGGCGGGAATTCTAATGAATCTTGACTATCTCGGGATTCAGTGAAGGCTTATGTACCATGTATTTCATATCTTGTATGATTAAAGACTGAAAAAAATTTAAAAAAATATTTTATCATCTGAAATGAGATGAACCAAGGCTGGTTAAACATTTTGAAAGCAAAATAACCCAAAAAATCAATACAGAACTTGAAATTATGGTTTGAGGGATCATTTTAGACGTCGAAA